TCGCACCTGTTCTGTGGACAACTGTCTAACCTGCTCTGGGGACAACTGTCTAACCTGCTCTGGGGACAACTGTCTAACCTGCTCTGGGGACAACTGTCTTATCTGCTCTGGGGACAACTGTCTAATCTGCTCTGGGGACAACGGTCTAACCTGCTCTAGGGACAACGGTCTAACCTGCTCTGGGGACAACTGTCTTATCTGCTCTGGGGACAACTGTCTAACCTGCTCTGGGGACAAGTGTCTAACATGATCATCTAACCTGCTCTGGGGACAACTGTCTAATCTGCTCTGGGGACAACTGTCTAACCTGCTCTGGGGACAACTGTCTAACCTGCTCTGGGGACAACTGTCTAAAGCTGGCCATACATTAAGGGAATTTCAGGGGGTTCTTGATGAACTGGTTGAAATTCATTCCATGGTTGTCTCCTGTGGAGGCGGCTCCAGGTGGAAGTTTCTCGGCCGAATAGTGACTGCAGCCTATCACAGGTCACAATACAATGGCCGCAGCGGGAGATATGTCCCTCCTGTTTAGAGGGAATGGAGGAATCTCTTAGATTCTTTTTTGTTCTGCCCGAAAGGCTGACTGAAAAAAATCTAACCTTAGACAGGAATTCCCCTCTATTTGGGGGATTTTCTCTAGCTTCCTGTCGTGTCTTTTGGGGGCGCTGAGTGAATGGAAATCTCCCCAATGGAAAAAATACTGAGAAAAGCATACCAGGCCAGTTAACCCTTTGCTACTCTATCCAAAGCTAAACAAGATTCATACATTCCAATCACTGACGTATGTCTTCCTATGGCAGGCGCTGGATAATTTTCCACTGTTGATGTACATTTTGGCAGCAAAGACGGTGCTGTTGTGTCTGGCCTTCGCCGGTGTCAAGATTTACCAAAGTAAAAGGATTGAAGCGAAGATGAAGCAGGAACAGGTGGAACGACTCAAACGTTTAGCCGAGGAAGCGGAAAAAGATGACACGGATAAAAAAGAAGATTGAGGTAAGAGGCCGAGCATTATAAACACTCTGAAATGTTACTTTATTTAAAAAGCCAATCCATACAAAGTGAATTATCATTCTGGGTGGGGCAGGGAAGGTTGTGCCCC